AGGGCTAAGTAACTGTCAGAGGCTACATCAAATTGATTTATGCCTGGCACCTAGGAAATTCCCTGGGAGAAAAACCAAATAACACTTCCTCAACATTTTAGGTCCTCTAATACACAAAATTTCCAGCTTTTCGTTTGTGCTATTAATAGTACAATCTGATCCTTGTATATAATTTATTTACATATTTTCTACATGTAGCATGAACGTCTCCCTATTGTTTTCAACATACAAAATCACAGGCAGTCACAGCAACTTGCAACTGATATCTATCTAGTAACTTCTATCCAGGGAAAAATCCATGAAACCAAAAATAATATTTTGTCTCTCTAGATGTCTTGATTGCATAGAAAAAGTCATAAATATTTTAGAGTATCTGCTTTTACCACATAAATATTTTTTAAGAGAGATTCAATACTTTTTTAACAAGCCCCTTGCCAGCTAACTGTACTTTCAAGAACATATTATGAGGTATTATCAAGCACTCCTGCCTTTCAATTTCTTAATCATGTGAATATAAGTTTCAAGCTAAATACCATGTATGCCGATAGAGTATGCCTTCGCTCTAAGGAGAAATAAACTTCATTTCTAGTGTTGTTTTGCAATTTGTATAATTCACACCACTTTTACACACCTTTTTTCAAATCTCTCCTTCATAACCCATAAATACAACGGGTATAAAGGTCTCTTTGGAACCCTACCCCCGACAAGGAAATATCATCATCGGATTTGCTGGAGAATTAAAAAGAATCCCGAGACAAAACATAATCTTGCTCCTGTGCAAATCTTTTTCCTGTTGCAGTGTACGAGTCAAATGTAAATAATTTCATTAATGGTACCCTATACAATTTATCATTAACTAGTAGTCATATTTTAGCTGTTTTAAACAGACTATAGTACAACACCAAGCATAAGCACTGCCTAATAACATATACACTTGATCCAGTCAAGAGCAGGCTTGATAAATTTCACTTATTTTTCCAAACAATTTTTTTCAACTCGCATGAAATTCTTTTTTTAACTGAAAATATTTTAATGTGACAATATGACGAATAATGTACTTTTACAATTACCGATATATTTTGGTTATTAAAATGTTTTCATTAAACATTATTTTCTATTCATATATATTTATTTAGTGTGTTTTGCTATCATTTAATCTGACACTTAATTCTGTTTTTTTATTGCCAGAACTTTACAAAATACGTTACATGTAAACACAAATTTGTTTTTGTAAAAAAAAACATACATCTCCCTTTAATACCCAATGTAAATTGTATTGGCACTTTATTTCACCTTTGATGTAGCTGTGAAGGTCACGGTGAACTGCACACCTTTGGGTGATGCAGGTGATGCAGGTGATGCAGGTATACCTCTGGTACGGTAAGTTTCATCAAGTTATCCTTAATAGTCTCAATTTTATAAAACTGAACTTTTCTACTTATTTGACCTTTCACCTAGGGCTGAAGGTCACCTTGACCTCATCGTTGAACATCATCTGTTGGAGTCTTTGGTGGTTCAAAACCTATACAAATTTCATTTTTAATTTTGTACTTGCTAGCCCTTTGACCATTAGCTTAATGTCAAACTGACCTAATCACAGTGCACTGCACACCCCATTTGGGTGATGCAGGTATACTTCAAGTTTCATCAAGATTTCTTTTCCAGTTTAAAAGTTAAGACCCTGACAAGTTATGCTAATACAATACAACCTTCATATGAAGTGGAGACATACTTCAAGTTTCATAAAGAGGTCTTTTTCAATTTAAAAGCTATGACAAGATTATAAAATGAAGGATAAACATATTTTCTTGTACAGACCTAGTCTAGTAAAACAATCATGGTTTTTCCAGTAATGGCCGAGAATTCATATAACTTGGTTTAGTGCAAAGCAAAAGCAGAGGCATAATACACTTGAATATGTGTTGCGGTGAAAAACAAATGTTGTCTTCAATGATGGTTTGATGACAAGTGGGGATATATTTTTGTAGTCTCGTTTCTTAAATTGTGAGTGTAACTATGGACGATTCTTAAATTGTGAGTGTAACTATGGACGATATACTGACATTCAGAACATATTTATATAACCCACATATGGAGATAATATGCTTAGTCTAACTAAAATCTGTGAAGCAAAAAATAGAAGTCACAGTGATCTAGATGTCACATTTTGATAAAGTTCTCTTGGAAATGTATCTGAAAATAAATTTAGAAGACTGCAACTTGTAGTATCCAAGAAATAGAGTTAATGTTATGCCTAACCAAGACATATGAACAGATTGATCAGCGGACTGATGGTAATGGCCAACACTAAATGGCCCCTATGGCAAGGCACAGGAAGTTACATACAGTTGTGGGACCGCACAACGCACCAAAAATAGCGTGCGCACACCGTGCATACATCGTTCACACACCGTCCGCACATCGTGCACACATCGTGCGCACACCGCACATCGTGTAACGTTGTGCGATCCCACAACTGTACATACTAATATTTACAGTAGAAGTTTCTAGTAAACAAATCCATTTTTGCAGGGTAAAAAAATATTTCTGTTAATTTCACATTTCGTATTACATTCAATTTGTTCTGACAAATAACATGACAACAAGAGGTACACACTTTAACACTGTAAAATTATACTAATATCAATATATCATGCAAGCCTATACAACAACTTATTGTTATACGAGATGTACAGAAACTAAGTCCTAAATGTTTTTCACCTCAAAAAAGTTTCTGTCCCAGCCTGTGTCTTAAGCCCACAGGTAAAATTTTCCATTACATGAACTTGCCAATAAGACCTGTGACATTTCCAGTGTATAAGATCTGCATATATCCAAATGTTGAAGGAATGGCATCAAGGCATCTGAACCCCCTTTTTTCTGAACTTTAGACTATGAAGTCCACAGTGATTGTTAACTCTGGCAGTGTAGATTCTTTGTTGGTGGGATAGTCTTCAACTTATTTCAACAATTACAAATTAGTCTTCTTTGCCTTTATGGCGTCTGAAATTCATGGGGTTGTAATACAAGTACTCTACCCTAGTACTGTAACAATAAATTGATATTCTAGTATTTACCAATTATTTAGACCCACAGTACAATAAACAATATGCAAACTCGGCTTAGCAATATCTGAAATAAAATTTGTATGAAGAAGTTGCATCACTTTGTATGGTTCTCCAAAACCACACAGACATGAAATTCTAGTCATCTTCTGTCACATTCAAATCACTGGTGTTGCAGTATTTTGGGATAGCAAAACAGTGCATGGAGAGAAGAGGGTCAACAATCGGTGGACAGTAAATTGTATGATAACATGATGTACACAGGAGTTTCAACAACATCGAGTTCACATGCTCTGCAGGTAATAGTAAGGCTTAAGATATAGGACTTCCTTCACATTACACTACCCATACAACTAAACTAAGTGAAATTATTTTGAAGCCTCTGCATTTTAGTTGTTTCAGAGCAAAGGCAATAATTACTAAGAGGTCAATTTGGAAATGTATTACTTTGTACAGAGACCATATTCAACTGTAGAAAAAATATTCAAATCAATGAAAACCTATGGACAATGCAACTTTATAAGAGTTTATGTTGAAATTGTAGACATTAAAACCTGGAAAAGAAAATCTACTCTGGAAAACATTATTTGATATATAAAATGGTACTGTGATCCATTTCTTTTTATTTGCAAAAAGGGTTACCAACATTCTGGTAGAAAAAAGATTCACTAACAAAACAGATTCCTAGACACAACAACGATCACTTTACCTCACCTGCTTCAGGTGTTACAAAAATTGTTCAATTTCAACAACATTCAGTATATACACATACATAATGTTAAGTCTCGTGTTAATAAATATAATATATGTGTATATTTATGCATAGTCAATAAATTTGTCCTTCTGATTAGTTGATAAGTGGTTTCCCTTCAATGAATACTCGAAATAAAGTTTGATTTAAAACTACTTGATAAGCTTACTTGTGGCTATTTTCAGCACCACTAAATTTAACATCAGTCTCATCTCAATGTGATATTTCAGCAGTTTAGTATTAACTGATTGTATACTGAGTTTATCTGGTAATAAGCCCATGCCTGGTAATAACCCTACACAAATCTATTACAATTCACCAAAGTTATTTCATTTTCCTTTAATAAGGTCACCTCGCTACTTCAAGTCAGAGCTTATATGTTTGCCTCTTGGAATTATAGGATAAATATATGGCAAGAAAGGCAGTGTTTTTCTACCTAAAATGTGTCTACATGAATGGGGACAAACAAATTCACAGAATTCATATCCCCGCTCTTAGGACATGTTTCACATGTAGCCTGTTGTTACCTAATCAATTAGGCGTTAAAATGCACAAATAACATTCACGATTGAACTCGGCCCGAGACATGTCAATATGTATGTGCAGAACAAATTTGGTTGAAATTGACCCATTATTAGAGCAGTTGCTGCATGGAATAGCCAATCACAAAATTGTATCCTTCACCTTCACGACTGAGCTCGACCTCAAATTAATATGTATGTGCAAACCATATTCTGTTGAAATTGACTACCTTTAGGACAGTTATTATTACATGTAAGCTAAACCTAATGGGCAGAGGGGCCAATTTGAATATCCCCCATTTTCTTCGAAAAAGGGGGATAAAAATATAGCAATATCTAAGAGACTTGGAAGATGTTCTTCATTTTTGTTCTTCATTTTTCTTGATTTAAAAAAAATTAAAGCCATTTTTTTGGTAGGGAAAGAAACTTGTTTTTGGCTCTTAAATGAGGCATAAAAAATCCCTATATGGCCTTGTCAAATTTTGGGTATGGGATGGGGTTTTAGGACTATTGCATTGTCAGCATATATTTGAATTTGCATACTTTCTCTGTAGACGAGTTTAATTAGAAAGATTGATTCATAGATTCCTAACATCAATGTTCAGTAATCAGACAGTTCTATAAACATAACTAAGCTAACACAAATAAAATTGAAAACCTTACCGCTGTAACTTCACTATCCTCATTGGCTTTTTTGTTTGAGGCACTCCAACTGGAATTGCTTCCCTGAAAATTCAAACAATACAAGTTTCAAGTTTTGCTGATGTTGTCATGTTCAATGAAACCAAATTTCATTAAACAAGATATTGAGTTCATTTTACCATTCTATATCCCCCTCTGACCTGTCTCAGACCCATTTAGAACTGGCTAACTTTTGTTTATTTTTCTACTTGATTTTGCTCTGTGATTAGAATATCTAGTCAAATGGACCAGGATACATTCCTATTATCAACATTTTTTATAAAATCAAACTATCCCCTAAAAAAAACAATCAGAAATAGTAGTTATCCAACACTTCTCAAATAATATCCATGTTCCGGCCCTTTCCATCACCCCCCAAACAAAGTAAGACACATGTAAGGATTTTACTTCAAAAGTGTGTCAACTGTCAAGTGAGACTATTGACCCTCACTGATGGCCACCAAAACTATCAGGTGTGGAAATTGTTTTTACCATACTATGGTGTAAATATAAACTAAATGTACTAAAAGACTTAGATAAAAAAGATTGTCAATTCAAAAGTGGTCATGTGTAAACAGGTGACGTTTTCTATTTTGACCGATGACCACAAACTTTGAATCAGGTTTGGAGCTTGATGTAACCATATTATGGTGCAAGTATAAACTTCATCTGTAGAGAAGCAAACACATACCACCAAAGCAATTAATATTACACACACACACAAAACTAAGTGCAGAGTATAATTCATGAAAACTAATGTATTGGCTAAATATATTTGAACATCACAACAATCTAAGGAAAGGTACTAACATATCGAAGTAATTCAAGTTTTATCAAAACAAATTTTTAAATTGCAAACAAAAATCCACCTCTTTCTTTTGCTGAAAAATATCTGACAGTTTTTAATTATTACAAATCAACATATCATTAAATCAGTTATTTGAAAGAAATTAGTGTGCAAGCAGGATAAGTGTTAATTAAATATACTGGAAAAATTCACATAATACATCAGAAACAGTAATATGGTACAAATAGGCATGTTGATGAAAAAAGATAAAGTTACATAATCTAATATGTAAAGCTTATAAGTTTCTTTCGGCCATGCAGAAGACGGGGTATAATGTAGTTCTGGACATGTATCGGACAGTTAACACTATTCAACATTGCTTTAGAAGATTGGGATAGGCTATGATGCGATATGATTAATAAACAATGTTGTCCAATGAGAGACTGATATGTGAAATAGAATATATAAATATTTGACATGGTTATGATAGGAAGTTGGGAAACGGACAGGATAAGAGAGCTAAACATCGAGTGGAGAAGACAGGAATAAACAATGTGAGGTCATGAAGGAAAGGGAAAATGGAAATAGTAGTGGACAGGAAAGGTAGGCAGAAGAATGGGAGAATAGAAAGGCTAGTAAGAATGGTCTATGACAGATGCTGAAAGAATTGAAGAATGGAAAAGGTAGCAAAGTAATTGTTTGAAAGGGGGAGATGAGAATATAAACAAGTGATAGGATAAGAATGGGGGGATAGAAATTGTAGTGTAGGGGGAAGAGTAGAAAGACAGGGAGTGTAGGGAGGCAGGATGGGTTGAGAGTAGACAACAGTCTACTGGAGGGATACAATGCCATGCCACTATGTAACACAGAGGATGGGGTAGTACTGGATATTACTGACACCAGGTTGGGGATCAAGTAGTGTCCGATACCACTGCTATGTTGAAGGGACCTGATAGTACAATACTTACTACAGGACTTGACTGTTGATTTTGACTGGTGGGTTGGGCTGACTGTTGCTGCTGCTTTGGTGACGATGATGCTGTGTTTGGAGGTTGTTGCTGTTGACGTGTTGATGAAGACTGTGATGGTGATGGCGATGATTGTTGTGGCAGAGAATGTACAGATGATTCAGACGGCGATGGTGACGGTCGCGCTCCAGGTGGAGGAGGTGTGGGCCCCGGGGGCTGGCCCGACATCTGTGGGGGTAGCTGCTGAGATGGAGGGTGAGGTTGAAGCAAGGACGAGCAAGAAGGAGAAGGTTGAGAGGGTGACCCACAGTATCCAGTAGACACAGGGTTAGACTGTTGCTGACCATATTGTTGCTGGTGACCGTAGGGAACACCCTACATGCAACAACGAAAGCGAACGCCTTATTGAAAATAGTCTGGGCTCTATGATTTTTTTTTTTTAAGATCGTTTATAGTACAAAATGTGTCTTATTTATTTCCCTTATTTATCTATCTTTTTAGAAAGCAGGATTTTTTTTTTATTAATGCAAACATTTTTTGGACTTTTTAATACCCTAGTTTTTGGTAAGACATGAATAAAGCAGGTGATGTTAGTAATAATATGTACATGTAGCTAGCTAAATCTCTTAAAATATAAATGTTCAACTATTATTTCCCAAATGGTTTTGTTTCCACATATGATAAATATTACAAAATCCAATATCCTTTCTAACCCATGATCGTCATATTAAACTTGACCAGCTGGCCTTACACCGTGGTGTCTTGTTACTACATTATCCAAGATATGCAGATAATTTACAAACATCTCAATGTTCATGTGATAAATGGCGCGGTTATACCTCAACACATGCCAAAGGTCAAATCCTGATGAACTTTTCAAAATGCAAAAGTTACTTGACCTTAAATAACTTAACTTCAACATTTTTTTCTTTTTTTTTCTTTCCTGTTAAGTAACTTATACAATTATTTTATGATTTAAGTTTTAATATTGCAAATACCGCTTTGAACAAATCAAGCTTGCATTCTTGGGAGTTCAAAGGCAATTCATTTACAAAATTATTTTTTTGTATCAAACAACAGAAACTCCATCAATTACAACGGTGCAAGACCTACAAATCGGAGGTAAATAAATAGGGCATACATTTGCATATTAGCTTATAAATCTTGATACACAATAACTTTTGTATATTTGTAAGCTGATGTTTTTTTCATTCAGAATAGTCATGAATGGACATGTATTTGATTTCATTGTATATGAATATTTAATAAGTATCAATTGAAACATCACATTACATTTTCCTTTTTTTAATCGATTTTTTTTCAACTGGGAAAATTTCATTGAAACAAGTCTGCACCTAAATTACAGGGTATTTAAAGGAAATTGAATATAGTAGTGAAGTTAGTAAAACTGGAATACCTTTGGGTCAAAACTATCATCTATTATATCCCATTTGACATAAACAAAACTTAATCCATTACAGTGTTTATAGAGAAAAAGCAAAGCAATTAATTGTGAATTATATTGTCAGGAAAAAGCAATTAACAACAAAACTGACCAATACTGTTTTATTATTAATGCAAATCATAACTGACGGATTAATTTATTAAAGAATAAAATAAACATTGAATATATAATTATCTATCTTAGGTCAGTTTGATACATTAGAAGTGCAATGTTTAGAAAAATAAATATTTTTCACCTGGTTTGAAAACCCCTGGCTTCCCATCTGGTTAGGGCGACTGGAATTACCACTCATCATGCCAAAGCGTGAATTGGGCGAGAATTGCTGGCCGTACTGACTCTGGGGCGGGTAGTTGCCTGGTGAGGTGTAACCCGGTCTTGGTTGGTTCATTTCTCCCATACTCTGCAAAATATTTCATCATGTTTCAATAAATGCAACAAATCTGTAAGATAAGTTCTGATTAAGACAATCCAATTTTTTTCAACATACAAACTGATATCCCAATAAGTCTCAAATAAATTACCATAAAACATTGTATTGTACGAAAGAAATAGGAATATATCTACAATCAATTTTGAATATGTGCAAAGAAATCCACCATAAATCCATTGAATCTTGTTCCCCCAACTTGTTGGTTTTATGTACAAATTATTCAATAAATCCCCTTGCAATTGCAAATTAACTTTTACTTCAAGCACAAAATCCAACTTGAATTTGTTTGTAATGAAAAATGATCTCTCTCTTTAGGCTTTAAGGAGTACTTAATACTGTTTGGTTTGGAACAAATGTCTGAAAATGTGTACATGGGTACCTGTCAAAAACGACATTGTTCATTACTGCCCAACAAAGTAAACGAATGAACTATTTTAATATTCCAGCCATTGTTTTGCTTTTACTCGCCATTCATCCGTTTAGAACCTGTTCAAGAGCAACATTGTTTACTCATGGCTGTATTTCCCCTGGGGATCCCCTTCGAATTTCAGTCATGTCAGACATGTGATGGAATGACTTGAGCAAGACTAACTTTATACTTTATTTTATAATAAACTTTATTTATTGAGGATAATTCATTTATTGATTCTGATGTGTCAATCAAAGAGATTTTGCTGGTTTAATGCATTATAATGTTCTGTGATTTGATCTCTTTATTGCAACTAAAAGGTAACTGTACCGTGCCGGAGTGGAGCATGCCAGTGTAAAGCATGAATTGTCTCTACTTCAGTAAACGTGTAAAAGAAATCGCCTTTCAGCTCAATCATTATTGCAACTTGCATACAAGGGTTAATTCATGTTTTTTCAGTTACATATTATCAACTGATAACAGTAAACAGTTATTGTGTTTTTGCATGGGTCGAATGTCAAGTTTCCAGGACTTATATTTTTCATGACAGCCCTACTTGTTTTAGGTGATTTTTTTAACCTTTGACCTAGAGGTGAAGGTGACGGTGACTAATGTGATGCAGGTATAGTCATGATCACAGCGTCAAGATTTCAGAACAAATTTGACCTTAAGGTGAAGGTCACTGCGAGTTCAGTGCACTTCACACCTTCTGTAGGCAATGCAGGTACACTTCCAAATTTTATTAAGATATCTTTAGACGGTTACAAATATATGGACCAAACCAATTTCGACAAAGAGACAAAGGTCACAATGACCTCATTACAATGCACTGCACACCTTCCAGATGATGCAGATAAACTATATTAAATTTCATCAAGATATATGTGTAATACTTACAATACAGACTTGTGAGATGTTATTAGAAAAGCAGAAAGTAGTCAATAATGATGTCTCCCTTGAGGCTTAATGTGAAGGGGAGACAATTATTAACTGCAGTTCCTTATTTATGTTACTTCATCAAGTAACAAACAGCTCAAACATTTCATTCCCTTTGGTACTTTCTACAATGTATGAGCATGCAAAGTATCAACTCCTGTGACCCTCAATGGATCACATGCATAGGATTTTACATTATGACAAACCAGGACCATGTAAAACAAATAACACAATACACATCCCATTGATAACAACATCACAACTATTATTTAATATTTTCATTTTCCAAATCTGTACACAAAATAGAAAACACACCAAGTACCTTATGACTAACAACAAGGCAACTATTTATTTCCTGTTTCACTTGTGCTAAAATCACTATGTCAATAAAATGATAACAACTGGTCATGAGGCAACAAAAAATAATATTTTTTATTTAGGGTAATGCACTTATTAATTGTTGATCCTAGAGATTTTATGCACTTTTTTCTGATAAACAATAGCACCTGTCCATATTACATTTATTTATGGATGTGACCCTGTACAGCTATATATAATTCAGTTTTACCTAAAATTTCCTTTTTTCCACAGGAAAGCTATATTTATCAACATGAAGTGAGGGCTTTGAGGACAATTTTTCATACTACATTTCTTAAATAAGAGTCAATCTGTTAAATGATGCTGAATAGAGCTTTGAATTATATATCACTCGATGGACATGGTAAATACTATGAAATAACCCTGAATTTGTTTGAAGCTGGGATATAAACACTGTCCTTGTATAAGTGGGTTATTTTTTCCCCAAACAGTTGACCTTCATTCCCTTTCACAAATCACACTTGTATCAATGTAATTGCATCCCTACTAATCAATGTCTCCATTTGAAACTAGAAGAACATTCCCCCCCCCCCCGATATATACAAATTATCTTTATTTGGACAAGCACCATTAAGAATAGATTTTGTATTAATATTTAAATTCCATCAATATAAAAAAATCATTTTTGAAATTGAATCTATTATCTAGCCAAGTACTTACCTTACTATCTATCTTATAAATTATATGCTGCTTGAAGTAAGATTTCACCAAAAGTATGGATCTGTTTCTTTAACATTATGAATGCTTTATATGACACGAAAGTTAAATTCATAATTAAGTTGTAACACTGCATCATTTTGAGTATTTAGCCTATGTAAAATTAAAAAGCAAAAACCAATCTAATTTCTTTAAGCCATATCAATGCATTCAATCAATATTACTATTAAATCTTTGAACTCTTTACCGAGGGATTTAATAGTAAATCCCCTCCGGAATGTGTATATAGTAGCATGAATAGATGCAGATAAAGTTGGCAGGAAAACACATACAGGTTGTGACCTAGTCATTCATTCATATATACCAATCATAAAAGAGCCCCCATGTGTGCGAAGTGTGTGTAACTTCCCATTATCCCATTCACAATTACTCAGAGTCCAGAAGATAGATCTGCCGGCTGTTTACATTCTTCAACAGCCAATGACTGATTGTCAAAAAGCACATGGCTAATCAGCATAATGACTACAGCCTGAGTGGGTGTGTGTAAACAACTTTCCATGTGGTGTCAAGTAGTGCATTAATCCTAGTCACATGGACAATGCACTGGAACTACTTCTTTTATCACACATAGGATCTACCTGTAATTTTACAGCAGGACAAAATGACAGTATTATGACACGTGCCATCCTACTGCTGTCTATTTCAAGTTGGATTTTTTCATTGTTCCATATATATCTCAGATATACTTATTTAAAATCTTTAAGAAACCATTATTTTTTCTTGACAAAATAGTTTTTGGTTATTCACTTAGCAGACAAATTGCTCAGTCTTGATTCATTTACTGGTCCTTGTTTAAATAACGATTATTAATTATTTTGTGTTTTCAAGAATCAAAACCTTGGGACAAGTTAGGTTATGAATTTCTTTACCATGAAAAAAAGTGACAAAATTGGTCTCTCACATAATTATGAAAAATTCTCAAGACACATTTTCATTGACAACTAATTCGCTATTATTTTCTGAATTTACGGTTGCTTTATACAATACTTTAAGTCACACTTTGCCCTAAAAAGCATTTGCTTGACCAAGAACGTATATTTCTCCTGAAAAGCATTTGCTTGACCAAGAACTTATATTTCTCCTGAAAAGCATTTGCTTAACAAAGAACTCATATCAACATGAACAAGTTTATTGGTGAAAAAAGTTTTAACTGACCAGTAGATAAAATGAAATGCAAATACTGCAAAACTAAAAAAAAAATAAGGGAGACAACTTTACTATCTCGTCATCTGCCCCAAGCGATGGCTGATACAGCCTCACTTTGAGATTGTACACATACTTTCAATTTCTAGATGTAAATAAGCGCATGAAGTTTAATCATGACTCCTGCAGCTTGTTTCAAAGATCAAGTTTCAAAGATCAAGTTAAGAGAAACCAAGTAGGTTTAAACTGTTAGCGATAATGCATATTTAATAATACTATCAGAATTTAAGTTTTATAAAATGTTTGTCAACTTATCTTGCATTTCATATGGTCAAGTTTTAGCATCTTTGACTGCCAATATATCAGTTATTTCAGGGACATACTAAATACCTTATTGTACCCGCAATTTGAAACCTAAGCTTGTACCCTGGTACTTGAAATACTTGACCGATGCAAAACATTGATGTTTAATGTAGCTGGTCAATATCATCAGAAAACAAAAACATTATAATCACAATGAATGTGATTTAACCTCACTGATGGACACATCTTTTCTCTGACCAGCTGTTTATAACCGAAAAACAATACATCTTTAACCCATATACCGGTATGCAAGTCACGAGTTGCGGTAACTTTCACAACATGAGCAAATACGCATGTTGACACATTTATTTCACATGTGCAACAGGAAGCAAGACATATGCAGATTTTCGCAGACCTGTTTCTTGTATAACATTGGCAGGCTTGACACGGTACAATCAATTTAACGCTGCAGTCAAGAAATCAAACAATCATATACTGAATTTTTTTAAGTAAAAACCAACATATTCCATTTATTTACAAGTACAAGTTATGTCTACTGTAACACTAGTTCTGCCCAAGTCACTGTGAGAAAACAAAATAACAACGTTACTCCTGAACATGTAACAAGATACTAAAAATATCATCCCGTCATTTAAAACAAAATTTGGCTGGGATATTAAACGAAGCATTACATTCTCTTCTTTTTCTGACAAACACAATCACACACAGTTACCCATCAGAAGATGGGTATAAGGGCACACATTATCAGACCCAGATTCCTATAAAAACTGAACAGCCTTACTTAAAAGTATCAGTTTCTTTCAAACGCTTTAAATAATTAAAACTAATAAACAACTTGGATTACTAATGAGCATGTTTGAATAATTGCTTCAAACATTATGCGATAGGTTCATAAACAGGTAAGAATATCAGATCTGAAACACTTCCTACCAATACCCATTATCTATCATATCATTATAGCTATAGCTAGGCAAAGAATCATCTTCATACCATTGTTTCAAGTTAAAGACCTTGGAAATTGGTACATCCCAGTAATATACAAACAGTGATGTCATGTAAACAGGTTTTTACAATTGTGAATGACATTAATTTGCCAAATGTATACAATTTCATAGGAAACCTATCTTTCTAAATGTTATTCATAAAGTTTAATGTAAATCAGGAGTTCCTTCAAATGGGGAACATACAATTGAGAAGTACATAAAACCAACACTTTACCTCAAAAATTCAAGAAATGGAAAGATAATTAAATAAATGCTTATCAGTTGTAAAATATAACAAAAATAGTAATTTGTAAATCCTTTGTAAAATTAAAATTGATTCATGCTGCTCAGGATTATGAATAAATAATGCAACCATTTAACCTGTGTACACAGCATATTTGCAACCTAAAGGAAAATAAATAAGGGAAAACCCAACTTCTTTATTTATTGCTCTATTATTATTTGCCTTCCCTTCCATCTGAATCACTTGACATATGAAATAGATCATCACAGCACTGTGATTAATTGATTGTTTGACAAAGGGGCATCAGCCAATCAGAGTGTAGCATTAGCACATTGGTCCATATCATCAAAGGCCAGAATTTGCCTCCCAAATTTAAACATTGATTGCTGGCATGTGGAGCAAGCAACCTGTATGTTAGGATGTAAACAATCCTGTGTATTGGATTTACTGTTGGGACCAAGACATCGACCCTGCACTTGTCAGCATGTAGTTCCATTGTGCAGTGGCCTGATAAGATTATATTTATATCAATGGCGGGGATTATAAACCATGGACAATGTAGCTGTCAAGTCAGTCAGAGGTGAAGTGGGAGACAAACTGAAAGTAGAAAAGAAATGGCATACGCTACCTGATTTCTATAAGGCGTTCCTGGCATTGACATGGGACCTTGAGGATAGTTTCCCATGGGTCGCTGGTTCCCTCCCCAACCAGGCTGCATTCCATAGGGCATGTTTGGGTTCCCCATGTCCATACCCCCTTTCTGCGGAAAGTCATAACTGTTTGATGGCATCCTGGTAGGAGGTGCATTTGGGTTCTGTAAGAGTTGATTAAGTGTTGGGGTAGGGCCACCTTGTTGTGAAATGGTTTGCCCCGACAACATATTCCTTTGTGACTGGGGGTACCCTGGCATCATACCCCCTCCAGGTGGGGCCATTCCTGGGCGTATGGAGCCCATGACAGGCTTGACATTGCTTTGAAAACCTGATCTGGCATTGGATTGTGAATACTGACCCGGGAAAGGCGAATTTTGATTTGCAAAATCGCCACTTCCTGTCATCTGCATACCGCCATGTTGTTGGTCGCCAGAGTTGAAATTCTCTCGGTTGTACGCATTATACCCCGACATTTGACTAGGATGCATGTTTTGATTCATTCTGCTGTAACTGTCAACCCCCATCATCTGTTCTCTAGACGATGGGGGATAACTGTTCATGTCTGCATTCATGTGGGGCCCGTCCATTGGATTCATGAAATCATTCTGTTCAGTGTTCATGTTTTGCTGGCCTCCATCTTGAAACGAGTCCATTGTGTTGTTTTCACCAAGTTGATTTGGTGATCTAAGCTTTTTGTTTAACATATATCTTTCCTGGCTTTCAACAGGACTGACATGTTCCATTATAAACACTTACCGAAAAGTTGGTGACAGTCGGGAATGGTCCGACCGCTCTATGTCCCCGTCTTTGTTATTCACGCAGTTGAGTTGATCCAGCATAATGCTGTTTACCCACCCAAATGGACGACAAGGACGAAGCTAAATCGGCATTCAAGCATATTCCTCTTCCTCCAGACATACACAGTTCTGTCCAAAACTGTCACTTCTCACGTGTCGTGCACTTGAGTTGAATGTACATACAGTAAAACTTAGTCGGATGGCAGCATGGTCTTATCATACATAGTGCTATTATGCGGTACACTTCAATAAGCGGGAATATCGGAAGATCAAAGCGATTCCTCCGCATTTGTATTATATATATACTTATTGCCAATCCGAGCCCCTAACTTTAACACTAATAACCGGTGTACCTAACATAACACATTTCCCGAGTTGAAACACACGTTATCATCAAGCGGTATTCCTTCAAACAAATTCGGGAATTCTTTTTCGTAAATTGTCCACTCAGCGGATAAACACAATTTTCTGGCAGTAATGCGTCTAAGGCATTCTTTTCAATACTGCTGTTTCAATTAGCTGATCAATACACCTCCCGCACTATGTTATGAAACTGGAATGTGTTCAGCTTAATAATGTATTTTGTTTAAAATTATTTTATAATTTTATTCCTGGTGATGATAAATTGTCTATATTTTCAAGCAATTCCTACAGAAAATAGTCCCTTATCTCTGGAAATAAAAAGAAATTACTCCTAACGCAGGGAGGTAGAAGGAACAGCCATAATTTGCCATAGGGGCTTTCGTACTGACGTCAATACGGCGACAGACCTGATATTATTGAGCACGCAAATGTATCTCTTTCGTTTTTTCCCTTCGATAATATGGCTCGGAATTTTGCATATGACTTTAGACTTTCGGACCAATTTATGAAACTGAGAATGAAGAGAAATACTTTTCTAATCGAAAAATTTAAAGAAATAAGTATAATACACTCGAAATCATAAAAATAAATTGCTTTAAAGTATTTTGTGGCTGTTCCCGTTATAAAACACCACCCCACGTATCGGTTTATACAACATAGAAACCAAGCGCAGGCTATGCTGAAGTTGGTTTGAGTTCGGAAGGTCGTATTAGCGAGTGCAACGGAGTATGGGCAGATAACTTGAAGTAAACATGCTCTAGTTTAACGAGACTGTACTTATCAACACGTGCATCGAAACTCAATAGGGAAACATAGCAAAGTTTGGGCTTGATTTTAAAGTTTTATTAAATAAAATTCGCCAAATTTACATATTTATAGACGACATATCGTAGTAAACAATAACAAAGCCAATTTATCATTAAATCTATTTCCAGAGAGCCGGATACGCCGGTAAAGCCACAGTGATCACATATGCCCCACACGATTTTTTAGCAGTCGATATACAGCGTGGCGTCGCTGTTGTGTTAGCTGTATGAATCGAATATTGTAGTAGTTTATACATTGCGGCGTTGGTTTACCGGCGCGGACTACTTTCGGCATGGATGAATATTTACTATCCGACATAAAAAACGTATACAAAACACTTGACTGTAGTCATACTAATACGATAAAATATTGGGGATATAAAAGTATAAGACACGAATTAAATAAAATCGTTGCTGGTCTTTTGGGAAATCCGTTGTATTGTTCTTATTGAACTAAAATATTTAAAAACTAGCAAAGTTGGAAAATCGAAAAGTCTTATTGATTTTTGCATTAGGTTTCTTAATTTAATCTGGAGCTCATATTTTTATTGTTTCTCTTCGTTATTTCTCCGCGTCACCGTTCTGTGATATATTTTGGGTAAGCACACACCAATGTTAATTGTCACAGACCCTGTATAATATGTTACAATCAAAAACGAAATGTGTAATGAATTTAACGGGTCAATTAAACAAACATCATCTTAAGCAATTAATATGTTCAATGTATGCCGCCTATATGAAATGTAACAGTTAATATAGAACTTTTTCTTTCTTACAGAGAAAACTATTATTTTTCTTCCAATTTCATCGGGTACGTGTTCATTTAGATTAATTCCAATGTGATTTGCAAAACAGAATCCATATGTTGCATACATTTTTTTAAAGCATAGAATCTTCAAATTACACTGGTCGATTTACTTGTCTATCACAAGTGAACGAGACAACACTATGCTTACAAAACAACGTATAAATGTGTTATAATTTTACCACGTAGCTGCTAAGGGGAAATATTATGAACAAACATTAATTTAAGTGTATATTCAAAAGAAATCTCAAACTTAATTCGAACACTGAACCACGAAAACACGCTAACATCCTCGAGTAGATTTCCCCCATTGTAGGTGGAAACCCTGTGTACTCAAGTATCTATGGATAGAATCGGTGTGTTCAGCGATCATTTATATTTGCCCGGCAAAACATGCATTGGAAACGTCTTACATTTTGGGTCGACATAGTATTTAACAACGTAGACTGACCAGTAAATCATGCAATTGTTTAATCCGAGGATAAGCATGGTACCCCTAGATGCACTTCAACAAAGAGCATAGACATTTAAGCAATGGTAAAGAAATCTTAAAATTTCGGTTCAGCAAAAGTGTTGTTATTTGCAAACCTATGTGAGGGTCAATATATTGTCCTGAAGGGAGCAAATGCAAGAGATATACACTTGTCAATAAAACAAAACAAAGCAAACATAAAACTAGCATGCTATGGAGGTGACATACGTCGACAATGTTTCACTTCATAGAATCAAATACGTAATCATTGAGAATTATCTAAACGTTGGTCAACAAAATAACATTTTGAAAACCCATAAGGTTTTGGTTTTGGTTTTGTTTTTGTTTTGTTTAATGCCTATTAACAGCTATGGTCATTTAAGGACGTGCCTCATGTGTGTTGTGTATGCGTGCAATGTGTGTTTAAGTGGGAGACAGGGTATGTTGGTGTAATTGCCTCCTTGTGAAAGCGCAGATCTGACGACGACTTAATAGTGCTATCTAACTGAAATGCCATGCCTCACCTGGGCGAACGCTCAACATTGAAGCTAAAAGTGAGGTATTGTCAAGAAAGGCGCTAGGAAATAAAAAGGTAGATAGAAGAAAAAGAAGAAGAAGAAGAAGGAAAAATAAAGATCTCAAATGTTGCAATGGGTGTAGCATATTTATTTTGGTCGTTTTTTTGTCCCCAAAGTAGAGGTCACAACAAAAGCAAATACCCAGTTCTGGAGGGGTTCCCACATAAGTCGCCTCTTACGATGCATGGAGTGGGTAACAGCAGGTGTGTTCTTTTTTTCCGATCCCCGACCTGCAAGAGTGAAATCCATAAGGACTTTTTTCATAACATGGTTCACATAACGTCCTCCACAGTTATACATCAAATATTACATAAGAGCAGAAATCAGTAAACAATTTATAAATTACACAATTTTCGTTAAATATATATATCAATTCAATGAAAGTCCGGGTAATAAGATATTTAAATTGATGAAAGTTGAGCAGAGGTTCCTATTTGAGAGTTGCCACCATTGACCATCCTAACCTCTGAAGGTCGAGTCCTACAATAAAAAATGATGTAAACACGCATACGTTTTTGAAATTATGAGAATGTGGGGAATTATAAATATTTATTAACTTAATGCTTGAAAATGTACGATTCCATTGCTACCCAATGACAAATTACGGGAGTTATGTTGAGCCGACTACATAGTAGTATATTCCCGTGGTTACTGTCACTGTACTGTTGAGTAGGGTTCAATGGTCTGTTTTCAACTACAAAACAAAGGAAAACACTCTGTATTAACCTGTGGAGAACCTATTTAAAACTCATAATCGCATATAAAAAATATGAAAATACTCTACTGAAATCAATGACCAAAACAAAACCATGAATCTGTTTTTCTACCAAATGAAAAGGCAACGTACTGGTTCTTATACTTTCGTGTCTTGACGTCGTATGGTCAAGCCTGATAACAATACATATTGGTTTGTAATTGGCATGTGGCCATGTTGACAAGAATAGACCATAACAGTAAATATGTCGTTCATAAGTTCCTCATATAGTAATTACAATAATAGTACTTATTTCGTTCGTTATATGTTATATGTAGTTCGTCATGTGGTCAGATCTGTAATAGCAGTACATATTTCGTTCGTCATATGGTATATGTAATTCGTCATGTGGTCATATCTACAATACTCGTTCAAATGTAGTTCGTCATTTGGTCACATCTGTAATAACAGTAATATATATGTAGTTCGTCATATATGGCATATTAAATTCGTCATTCAGGATATATTGAGTTCGTCATATGGTATATGTAGTTCGTCATGTGGTATATTAAGTTCGAAATATGGTATACGTAGTTCGTCATGTGGTATATGTAGTTCGTCATGTGGTATATGTAGTTTTTCATGTGGTTTATATAGTTCGTCATGTGGTTTATGTAGTTCGTCATGTCAGCAATAATCGTTCAAATGTATTTCGTCATTTGGTCACATCAGAAATAACAGTAATATATGTGTAATTCGTCATGTGTTTTAGGTAGTTCGTCATGTGGTATATGTAGTTCGTTATGTGGTATATGTAGTTCGTTATGTGGTATATGTAGTTCGTTATGTGGTATATGTAGTTCGTTATGTGGTATATGTAGTTCGTTATGTGGTATATGTAGTTCGTTATGTGGTATATGTAGTTCGTTATGTGGTATATGTAGTTCGTTATGTGGTATATGTAGTTCGTTATGTGGTATATGTAGTTCGTTATGTGGTATATGTAGTTCGTTATGTGGTATATGTAGTTCGTCATGTGGTTTATGTAGTTCGTTATGTGGTATATGTAGTTCGTCATGTGGTTTATGTAGTTCGTTATGTGGTATATGTAGTTCGTTATGTGGTATATGTAGTTCGTTATGTGGTATATGTAGTTCGTTATGTGGTATATGTAGTTCGTTATGTGGTATATGTAGTTCGTTATGTGGTATATGTAGTTCGTTATGTGGTATATGTAGTTCGTTATGTGGTATATGTAGTTCGTTATGTGGTATATGTAGTTCGTTATGTGGTATATGTAGTTCGTTATGTGGTATATGTAGTTCGTTATGTGGTATATGTAGTTCGTTATGTGGTATATGTAGTTCGTTATGTGGTATATGTAGTTCGTCATGTGGTTTATGTAGTTCGTTATGTGGTATATGTAGTTCGTTATGTGGTTTATGTAGTTCGTCATGTGGTTTATGTAGTTCGTTATGTGGTATATGAAGTTCGTAATCTGGTATATGTAGTTCGTCATGTGGTTTATGTAGTTCGTCATGTTGTTTATACAGTTCGTCATGTGGTATATGTAGTTCGTCATGTGGTATATGTAGTTCGTCATGTGGTATATGTAGTTCGTCATGTGGTATATGTAGTTCGTCATGTGGTTTATGTAGTTCGTCATGTTGTTTATGCAGTTCGTCATGTGCTATATGTAGTTCGTCATGTGGTATATGTAGTTCGTCATGTGGTTTATGCAGTTCGTTATGTGGTATATGT